AAAAAGTAACAAAAAAAGTCTTACATCATATAAAATTACACATTTTTTTTTACAAATGTCTGTTTTATTTATTTGTTTGCATTTATCTATTCTTTTTATTTATGTATAGTGTAATTGCTTTTATCTAGAGGATCTTTTTTATTGTTATGATATATATTGTTATAAAGTAATCTCTAATCTACAAAGACTTTACTGATTGTATTGAATATATAAATAAATAAAACAAAATATTTGATATAATGAGAACCAACTAATATTAATTACAACAAGGTATTCTAATCACAAGTATAATGAGATTAAAATTCTCAGATTCCAGTTTTCTGTTTCATTCACATTGTAAAATTAGTTTAAAATAATCTGCCTATTGTTATCAATTGTAATAATTACACTTGGGGACAAACAATAAAAATTCTTTAAAAATTTATACTAAGTGGACTTTTCTTTGAAACATACTTTTAATTGAAGCATACCTTTTAACTTTTACATATTTTAGGGACATGACAAAAATTCTTAGAAAATACATGTACCACACAGATCTTTACTTGATGCATACCTTCAAGATAAATATTCTTCTTGTGATTTCTCTAGTTTAGATTTTTGATCTATTGAGTTAAAATCACTTGTTTATAAGAAATGTAGCATATATATATATATGTAATAATATATATATGTGTATAAATGTGTAATGTATTAAGGTACTGCACAGTTTGTGACAAATATAAATTATACACATTCGTATTGTAATTGATTTTTAATAAATTGAGTTCAATAATGTTATCAGCTGTTATTGTTATCAAAAGTTGCAAATCCCAAAGTGATCATAATAAGTGGATTCCACTGTATTTGAAAAAACTGTTAAATGTGTGTTTTGAAATGCATAAATTTACAATCTGTCTCACAAATAAAGCAATTATTTTCTTTATAATAAATATAAAACAGAGAAACATTAGAAAACAAAAATAGATGGAGTTTAGTAATGCCATATAGTATCAGTAAATTTAACTATTTCACAAAAAATTTTATATTACCTTGACTTAACTATAAACTCTAAGCAACAAGAAGGATTCGTTCAAAAATATTATATAAAAAAGAAGGATATTGGATATTACAAAGAATATATCAGATGCTAAAATGAACATATCTTACTTAATTGTAATTTGGGACAAAACATTGATCTGATGGGTGAAACCACTGATAAAAGATAGACGGACTGTATTTCAGAAGTAAGTAAAAACATTCAATAGTAATCAAATGGCTGATAATGTAGAAAAGGTTATTATTTGAGGAACAAAGGTAGGATTCAGGTAAGTAGGTTTATGCTAGAACAAGGTATAACTTTTGACTGCTGCATAATAAATATAATAAATAAGATCATCCTTCTATATAATATCCACTGGAATAACAGAAAGAAAAAAAAAAAAAGAAGAAAATATGTGAAAATTATTATTATTTGAAATCAAAATCAACAATCTTCTCTTTACAAACTTAAACATACTGCACAAGCTTTTGTATCAGTTTATTATTTGAAGAAGAAAAAGAATAATTCCAAAATAATAGTTTTCTAATATATATATTTTTGCATTTTTCATCCCTTTTGAATGAATTTCACAGATATCCACAGATACATGCATATACACATAATACATGGAGGCTATGGTAAAACTTCAAATGCTCATAACTTCTAATTAATGTATCTTTCGAAAAAAATATTTCAGATAAAGTTTATTTTTTATATCATAATATGCATATAATATGCAATAAAAAATGGGGTTTCCATTTAAGAAAATGAAGTTGGCCTCATTTTCACCAATTGTAGTTCCATCTATGATGAAACCAACAACACCATCTTGTGGCCTCCTTAAAGTCTAACAATTTTGGTGGGATGAATTTTTCTGCCAGATAAATATTTTTCAAGTTATTCCAGTGGATTAATTAAAATGTACATATATATGAAGCGATTTTGAAAAATTTTGTTTCCTATACAATCATTTTAATAATATACTTACAATAACTGTCTGCTGAAAACTTGGAATGTTCAGAGTGTCTCATTATTTTTCAACATAGTCACCATTCTTGTTCACACATATCAATATCAGACAAGTTGTTGCATTGTGTTGGGAAAGAAATCAGATGTCTTCTCCTGGCACCAGTGATGTACGTCTGCAAGACTGGTGTAAGTGTCTCTTCAGGTGTTCTTTAAGCTTCAGAAAAAGAAAAGAATTTGAAAGGTGTGAATTTGTGTGATTCAGATGTACAAGTGTTATAAAATTCTCTTTAAATTTGAGATGCTAAATGCATCCTGTGTTTGTTGACTTGTGTCATAGTGAAGACCTGTATCTTTTTTTTTTCTGAAGCTTAAAGAACGCTTGAAGGGATTCAGTTACATCAGCAATGTGGAAGTGCAAACAGATACGTATTGTTGGTGCCAGGAAAACACACCTAATTTCTTTGCTGACATTGGCATATGTGCGGGCAGCAATCATGACTACGTGAAAAAAATAATGACATCTCCTGGTATACGACATTCCAAATTTTCAATAGATATAAAGTTCACACACACTATTAAAACTATTGCATAGAAAGCAGAACTTTTCAAACGGACTCGTACAGATATACACACATACATAAATAAATACTGTACATATGACAAAATGATTAATTGAACAATATAAGCAAAACAAAAATCGCTAAACAGTTAATATTTTCTGTTTTAAAGTACCAAAGATCTATTTGTAAAATTTATTACATTTCTAATATCCAAGTACATTATTTATTAGATTCCAAATTAAAAAATATTTTTTTAAGTTAAATTTATTAACCATTCTAAATTAAATTATAAAATAATAAAATTGTCTGAATTAATTTTATCAGTTATTTGACCTTAAATAAAAACGTGGTATATAGATCTTTGAAGTAATATGTTAAAATATCTTCATTTACAAATTATAGTATTACTTTTTAAAAGTGTTTTGAACAAAGGATAACACTTAAAGATATCATTAATAAACCTAAGTCATTGGAGTGAAATAAATTGAAATAATAATAAGTATTGAAAAACAACATGCACAAAATGTACTATGACAGCCATAATCACAGAAAAAAACAATTTACCACAACAGATCAGACATCACACTCATTGACAAACACAATAAAATCATATACATTATAGACATATTCATTCCAAACACATGCACTGAAGAAAATCAGCAAGTACACAGAACTCGTCCAGGAAATAAAGCATCTGTGGAGGATGGATAGTGTGTGTGATATCTCCTCTACAGGTGATACAACTACACAAAAATCTGAGAACATTACAATTGAATAGAAACACATACATCACACTACAGAAGGCCACTGTATTGAATACATGTAATACTGTTAGAAAATTATTGAATTTGAACACACACATTGACACACTTATTTAATTTTTGTCTTGTTATGGTTGCCATGCCTTTACTCTGGTATGGCATAGTACACAGCAACCAGTGTCAACTGAATATAACCCAGTAAACTCAACATAATAATAAAATAGAAAAACTTTCAATTCAGTATGATGTTTTATAAAATTATAACATTTTCAAAAAAAAATTTTTTTGTTATGTGTTTTTAAAATATCAGGTTGTTACTAAAGTTCTGTCAGTTTGAGACAGCATATCATTGCTAAAAATAAGATTATTTAATTGAAATAACCTCCATTATAAACAATACATTTTTGCCATAGAGTTACAAGTGTATTTATACCATGCTGAAAAACTATGGCACTCTGGACTGAATGAACTGTTTGAAGGTGGTTTCCACCTCTGCTTTGTTGGAGGAATGTTTTCTCTTGGAGAAAACTGTTGAGATGCTTGAATAGATGGTAGTCTAAGGGGGAAGGCCTGGTGAATAGGATGGATGAAGGAGAACTTCATATTCTAACTGGTTCAGTTTCTGGAGGATGACTTGTAACACATGAGGACAAGCATAATCATGAAGTAAGATGAGGCCTCTTCAATTCACCACTGCTGGCTGTATTTGAGTTAACTTCTGATGGACAATGTCCAATTCATTCAGATTGAAACTTTCAAACCAACATTATACTGTGCATTCATTAGCAGTTTTGTCATCCCATGCTTTATTACTGTTACAAGTTGCTTCACTTGCTTTGTGGCCAAGTTTGAACTCATAGAATAGGTCTCATCCAAAACCCCAAAAACAAAGATATGTTGCATTTTTGAAAAGATAAGTGTTGCATAATACATACAGAAGTTTGCACTATAAAACAATACATAACTTGTCGACATGTACTACCATAGTCAAGCTAAAACTTAACTTAAAAGTAATGCATATAAAAAAATCTGACAGAACTTTTGTAACAACCTGATATATTACATTTTAAAACATAATAACTAACTGAATTAGACAAAAATTAAGTTAATTTTTAAAACTTCTATTAGCTTTAAAAATGAATAAAATAGCAACCTTCAGTAATTTATGCAATAATAAAATAATTTTTAATATTGGAAAACATATTTTAAACAGAATATCTATTTTAATTTTATTTAAATCAGTGATTCTCAAAGTGGATGCTACTGCCCCCTGTGGGCAGTGAGTAAATCTAACGGGGTTAAAAAAGCAAGTGGATGGCAGGGTAACTGAACAGTACCCATAGGTGAAGGTTGGATCACTGACAATCTTTTCCCATCCTCTGTTAAAACAGAGAAGAAGAAGAAACATTGCATTTAATGGTTTCCAGATGTGGAGAACAATGTATGATAAGTGTGAGATAAACAGAAAAGTTTTTCTAAGAATATTTCCAAGCCTTTCTCAAACAAGGGAAAATGGTTTAGGGGCATTGGGTGTAAGTTTATGGAACCAAGGGGTGGTGGGTGAAAAAAGTTTGGGAATCACTGATCTAAATAATAAATTAATAAAAATGAACTAATATACTGCAATTATAATTAGAGATTCAATATTTTCATTATAAATATATATTAAAAAATTTGACAACTTCAACATACCTGAATATAATGGAATCCAAATCAAATGGATATTCAATTATCCCAGTTGTTGGAACTCTAACACGTAAAATATCTTGTTGAGTTGGCAAATAATCAGAGGTAGATATTCTATCAAGATCATTTAAATAGCTGAAAAACATGAATCAATAATTATTCATAAAATTTTAAACTGCATATACAGTAAAATACACTTATTGTAATCATTTGGGATTTGCCTTTACTAATAACAGACTGGTAATATTAAACAAAGTAAGTAAATATGACCATAATTGGTATAAATTCTGGTTACATTAATTCTAACATTAAAAGAACATGTTGAAACAATTAAAAAATTGTATAATTTGAAAATTTATTAACTATAATTGATGAATTATTATTATTAATTAATCAGTTGTTTTGCAACATTATCTGTAACAACAGTTAATATATACAGTAATACTCCAAACTTATGCAATAGGTGAGACTGAGCGATAACCACGTAAGTCGAATTCGCATAAGTCGGAGTATAATTTTGCAGTGTGTGTAAAATCCAAGTCGGATGTATGTAAGCTAATAAATATTCTCATTAATCTTATCTCATCTTTTAATTCGTTCACAGTTACAAGAAATCACCACATAGAGTCTCTCAAGTTTCCATAGATATAACAAACATAGAAATACAATAGAGCATCGATTATCTGACTCAATTGGGGACTCAGGTTGGTCGGATAACTGAAAAAATCGGATAACCGAAAAGAAGGGAAAAGATACACTATTAGTAGAGTATATTAAAATATTAGTATTCCTAATGTTTAGGTTGTAATTAGTTTATTAGTGTATTGCTATTAACCAACCCATGTAATTAGTTTATTAGTGTATTGCTATTAACCAACTTTGCGTTGAATTTTCATTGATGTTTAGCCTAACAAATTTTTTTAAAAAATAATAATCGTCGCTATTGTATCGTTAAAAATATTTTTAAATTGTTTTATTGCTCACGAAACAAACAACCACTCATAATTAGAAAATTAAGTCTCGTTTAAATACTGCCCTCCCTTCAATGGTCGAACAGTTGATGCCAGCTAAAACATGCAAAAATTTAACAAAAATAATATTAAAATAGCCAAAACATAGCCAAATATTGTAATGCCACATCACTAGCAGACATTTGAAATTTGCCGACTAGAACGGTCGGTTAACTGATGTGACTGTTAATCAGGGGTCGGATAATCTATGCTCTACTGTAAATAACACAAAATAAATTGTAGCTATGTGTCAATTCCACGCAACACATCTGAACATGTAAGCTGAACAATAGTGTGGAGGTAGTGAGTAATCAAGAGTTGCATGGCGTTCAAACAAAAGACGAATCGATGAGATTTGAAAATCACATAACTTCGAGTTCGCATAAGTTGGGGTAGCGAAGTCGAGGTATTACTGTAATTGAAATAAGAAATTCCAGCAAATTAAACCACTGTACTACAAGTAATAATTAAAACAATAAATGTTAAAATTTATTTGTCTTGGTTTTATTTATTAGTCATTAACAAGTGGTTGATGATGCTTCATTATCAGCCATTTGTTGAGATAATGCAAAATTTCAATAATGTCTTGTAAGACATTGTACAGTACATAAGTGGTGCAGTTGTGCTCTTCAATATTCTCCATTCATACCATAAGTTACTATCTACATATCAAATATTTTTTTGTGTTTATCGATTTTGTTGTTTTTCAACTTTGAAATATGTGATACTGTAACTGAGGTGTACATGTACTATGCACCTTATGATATAAATATAATTTGTGATTACTTTGTTTCATTCATTCAAATTCATTTTTTAAATGTATTTGAAAAAGTTGCTTATATTTTGCGTATTTATTAAATATATATCTTTATTGAACAATGTCATAGCTTTCAATAAATTTTTAGACTTATATTAGTTTGAAAATATACCAAACAGCATTTGAGATGGCTAGATTTTCATGTTGTTTCTCGCTCTCATACAACTTTGAGCCTAAAGGAGTTGGATGGTGCTTTAGAACATGATGTCAAAAAACTAATAGGAAAAAAGAAAAAAGTTATAAAAAAGACTGATTATGACACAATTTGAGTCAGAAGATAGGGATATTGTAGAATATAATCAGGACAGTGAGTCCAAACAATTGGCTAATTAGACAAGATGGCATTTTTGTAGAAGACAAGAACAGTTGAACAAAATTCATCTGTTAAGACTATGATAAAAATGTTTGCAAAAAGTCATATAATTAATATATGTACCAGGTGTAAAGGGAAGCAACAGACTGTAATGAAGTGACATATTTTTAATTATTTAAATGCTTCATAATTCAATAAAACATTCTAAGAATAATTCCTTCTTTTATTTCATCAATATTTTCAAAAAAATATTAATTATTAGAGAATAAAAAGTGATATTATATATGTAGTGTAATAGTCACAACATGCTCTCTCAAAACACTAAAAGGTGCACCACCAAAGGGTTAAATAAAACTAATAAATTTACTAAATTTAATTGTTGACAGATCTCAAATATTTATCATTTATTGTAGCATTCATCATTATCTGTATTATTCAGAAAATATTTCAGTTTAATCTAAAGTTATGGTAAAGTTGATTTTATTTAGAAACCAATTCTTAACAATAAATTAATAAAAAAATTGATATCTTACTATTTAGCTGAATCTGTTAATTGATATTCTCTTCGTCTATCATAACATTCTAGAATGCCAGGATCTGCCCATAATGATTTAATTGCTTCTACATACTGCTTATTGAATGTTGTTACTGTTTCATAGTCAACTGACCTAACCAATTCCGCATGTTCCTAAATAAAATTATTATAAAGCTTATTTTATGTAATTATAAATATGTATTTATTAAATACACCAATGCTTTTCAAAATCTAAAATTAAAAATATGTTATTGCATGACACTATTAATTAATTAAAAAAAGCCAATACTTCATTTTAAAACTTTTACAAGATAATAATTTAAAACATTTTAATAAAAAAGAAAAAATTTTTCACCTAGAAAATCTGAAAATATACCTAATTCTATTTTTACATGGTAGATACAGTCTCAAAAATTCTGCAACTTTTCCAAGTAAATGCCAAAATACCTCTAGCTTTTAACACTAATCATACAATACAAATGCACACAAAAACCATTCTGTACTGAAAAAATTTGGGAAACAATCATACACAAATCATTAAACATCAAATTAAATGTTTTCTGACTACATCAATTATGAGATAAAGTCAGAATGAAAAACTGATTGTCACTACACACAATCAAAGAGATGCAAATTCTAAAATTAAAAAATAAAAATAATAATAATAAATTTATTTTTTAAAGTAAACATAAATATTTTTCTTAGAATTAAAATCAAATGGAGATTTTTATTCTAAGAAATTTATTTGAAAAGTGTTGTATCAAAAATTGTGAAAAAAGAGAATTGAATATTTTTCCAGACCACATTATATAAAAGCAGAATTAACTTAAGTTTATAATAAAATAGTAGCATAAAATGTAATTAATTCTGACTTGATTATTTAAAATTATTGGACAATTATTATTCTCCTTGAAATTTACATTTAAATCTGTGTTAAAATAATAGTTAAATTTTTTTATTATTAATTCAAATAAATTAAGGTTAATGTTGTCAAAATATTGATTACTAATTGATAAAATTCTTTATCAGAACTACAACAACTTTAAACAGCTTTATTTCCAAAGCATATACTAACTTAAGCTTCACATTTGTATGCAAAATTAATTTTGCTAATTATATTTTAATTTCTAATTATGTATTTTTATGTGGCTTAATAGAAATTGTCAGAAAACTTAAGAATGTTATCATTTTCCATCAGTGGCACATTATAGCTTTGGAGGACCAAGCAAATTTGAATTAGGGAATCCCATGTAATGTTGACTTCAAACATTTTTTTTCAGGGAAATTTTTGGAGGAATCTTCTCTATCCTCATTTGATTTAAGTTCTGCACTGTGTCTTTGCATCCTGCACCAGTGCCACACTGGCCATCTAGGGTCACCAGATATAGACTAAATTTCAATTTCAATATTCTTACTACAATAATGATTTTATAAAAGATTTCTTTGGAGTCCCCTGTTGGTGGGGGCCTAGACAATTTCCCTTTTTTCCCATAGGATAAAGTACCACTGTTTTCTATTACCTTATGTTAATTTTTGTTAGAATTTTTCTACTCTGATTTTTATCCAATTAAATTTTATACTATTGGAGTTTTTAATTATGATTTATCCTAGATTTAAACAGTGGTATATTAAAGAGAATGAATCTATCACCAGATATTGTTAACTGATCAAGTTTAGAATAAAAAATGCCAATTTCTGAGGTAATTTAAAAAGTAGTTTCTGAAGATAATAATAATAATTTCAGAAATAACCTTTTAATTTAGGAAATTTCAGAAATTATTGGGCCATTAAATCAAGTTCATAAATTTTGATAATTCTTGATATCAGTTATATCAAATATTGATAATATTAGCCAGTGTACATTTTTCTGACTTCAATTTTGGGAAATATCATATTGATAGCTGATTGTTCAACAATATTGAATACCACTAGTGAATACTCCAATGACTATAACATAGTCACTCCTAGTGCTGCTCTCATGGTTGTTAACAATCACTTCATAAGAATGGAAAATAAAAGGAAATATTAGTGTTCTTATTGTTATTTTCTTCTTATGATTGTTCATATTTTGAAGAAATAAAAGAAACATGCATGTGATTGAAACTCTTAATTTAAATGAGGCAACTTTCATATGCATTCTAAAGCACTCATTGAAGCCATATCTTATTAATAAAATGCTTTAACAAAAAGAAAAATACTTTCAATAGTGTAATAAATTTAACAAATTAATAAAAAAACAGGGAAAGACAGTGAGGAATACAATATTGATATTTTATGTAAATTTTAAATTTTTTTACTTGGATAATTTATTATATAAAATATATAGAAAATTGTATAAAAGTGTCAATAGACATTTCTATTTTAACATTCTCCTCAATTAACAAATGCAAAGAATCATGTGAGATGAAGCAACAAAAAGAATTTCTGTACTCACTTGGTGAAGAAAAAAAATATATCATGTGTGAAATGTGTGTAGTGTTGCATACTAAACTAATTTAGTATAATTTTCTCTTCTCTTTTCCATTCTTGTGACATATGAAAAAGCCATACTTACAGGGTGAGACATATGCATGTACTAGTAGAAAAATACTGTAATTTTTGAAGTTTGTTAGAAACGAGTTGTAATTGTGAGTTTGATAGAGGGAATGTTGGCACTCAAGAAGTGTTTAACAATTCAAACAAGTATTTAATCCTAGACTGATAGATTTAGATCAGGGGTGTCCAACCTTTCTGTTTCTCTGGGCCACATTGGAAGAAGTCATAGAGTTTTGGGCCACAAGTATATTTTGACCCGATCCTTAAATATATAAGTATATTTAAGTATTAATATGTCTAGATTATAGTAATAAGTATTAAAAGTTTACCACAAAAAAGAATATTTTTAAAAATTACTTTTACAGACACTTTCAATTTTTACTTAGAAATAGATGAATTCATTTATTATAAAGGAGACAAACAAAAATTTATTTGAAAAACACAAATATTTGTTTTATTTGGGTCTCTAATCAATAAAAAGCGACAAAACACCATTTTAAAGTGCATTTTTATTCAACTAATATGTAGCCCAAAAAGTAGCCAATGTGCCAACTGATATTTTTTAAATCAAACTAATAAAAGGGTAGCCAAATTTGGCACAAAGTAGCCGAATCTTGCAACGCTGGAAGGAATACTATATAAAGCTGGAGTTGAGACTCAAAGGATTATAGACTCAAATGAGGGAAAAGGAGAAAGAGGACAAAAGATAAAGTGAGGAAGGTTGGAAAATTAAGGGTCCATATTGCATAACAGGAGGTCTATTTAACCTTTCTCACTACTTTTTATCTTTAGGTCTTTTTCTCCTTTCCCCTGAATTTGAGTCTATACTCCTTTGAGAGCCAACTCCAGCTTTATTTAGTATACCTTCCTCATTCACACAATTCTAAGTATTTGAAAATATTTCTTTTCCACTCAAAAATAAAATATGTATAAAGGTTTACGGCTTTGTGAAACTTTTTTTTTGAGTTTATGCTGTTGAAATAAATAAAATAAATAATTTAAAAAATTGTCGGTTTTGTGTACACATTTATTGGGCTGCATTCGAACTTCCCTTGGGCTGCATGCAGCCTGCGGGTTGGACACCCGATTTAGATGTACCAGAAAAGGCTAGAAGTGGTAGCAAATAGTCTCCATAAGCCTCACTTTAAACCCCTGCAACATATTGCAATATGGGGAGACAACTAAAGATAAGGTTCATCTCTTTCGAATGCAACAGATTCTTCAGGATCTGCATCAGTCACNATGCTGTTGAAATAAATAAATAAATAAATAATTTAAAAAATTTTTGATTTTGTGTACACATTTATTGGGCTGCATTCGAACTTCCCTTGGGCTGCATGCAGCCTGCGGGTTGGACACCCGATTTAGATGTACCAGAAAAGGCTAGAAGTGGTAGCAAATAGTCTCCATAAGCCTCACTTTAAACCCCTGCAACATATTGCAATATGGGGAGACAACTAAAGATAAGGTTCATCTCTTTCGAATGCAACAGATTCTTCAGGATCTGCATCAGTCACAAAATAAAAGGAATTTTAGCAGCAATCAGATACTGCATTAGTTAACCAATTTTATGAATGCCTAGAGAATTTAATTGTGCTTGGAAGCAAACATTTTCAATATGGTATTTTGTAGTCCATTTAACTTAATTAATTTCATTTGATTTGACTTGAACTGCATTTGTACTTTTTGAATAATTTAATTTTTCTACCAGGATATAAATATGCTCCACTCTATAGTAGCTTAAAAATTACATCTGTATAATTAGTCCATATAAAATTAATCTTTTACAAGAGGTTTGCTGTCTTATCATCATTCTTTATTGTTTCTCTATAATTGTTATACAATTAGATTATATTTGAATGTTATTTTAAAATTATCATCTTATACTTCTTATCAGCATACTTATAAATTTTCTAGAGCACTATTGTATAATACCATTTCAAGTTCCTTAATCTTAATGGATAAAATGTTAAACTAATAATATGCAGAGTTTGTGCTCCTATTCTCCTACTAGCATACATAGTGAAAAGTTTCTACATATGTCAGAAAAAATAAAGCTATGATCATCAGCAATACTCTTAATATATTCTAGTTCATCATGAGTCCAAAATGGATGTACTGTACAATATATACAATGGCTTTTAATTAGAACTAAAACAATACTTGAAAATGTTACTTTTTTTTAAAAATGTATCTGCTAGTTTAAAGGTTTATTTTCAATAGTGTGATAAAACCAGTTTTTCTTCATTTATTCTTTGAATTCTATTCAAAAATTACACTATAATACAATTGAAATTCAATTAATTGATACATACCGTATTTTTTTCATTTTTGTATTGTATTTGTAACAAATCCATTGCTTTTATCATGCTTTGCATGGCCATGAATATATTTTGGTATACAAGTTTAATAAATCCTCTTTTATCTTCATCAGAATAACCAGATCCATGAATAATTTTCATCTGTCTAATGAAGGTACTCTTTCCAGATTCACCTGTTCCCAGTAAAAGTAATTTAAGTTCTCTACGTGAATCTTTTTTATCTCTTTTCAATTGTTTTTCGATTTCCTGATTAATTCGTCTCTGTTCCCTCTCTTCATCGCTTAAACAACACGCCATGTTTGACTTATTTCTACAAAATAGGCAAATATACTTCCGTTCGTAATTATTTCTATATTTGTAATAAATGCGTGAAAATAATAATAAAAAATATTTAACAAACAATAATTCAGTAAAATAAAATGCGTGAAAACATTAAAAAATTTCTCATTTTATTAGAGGAAGGCGACATCCGTATCGAGATNAGAATAACCAGATCCATGAATAATTTTCATCTGTTTAATGAAGGTACTCTTTCCAGATTCACCTGTTCCTATTAAATAAAAAAAGTTTATTAGAATATCAATAATTTTAAAATATTCGGTAAACTATCAGTAAGCTTTGATTAAACTATAAAAACAATATGTAATTGAGTATCTATAGCCCAGAATTAAATCACCTGGTAACACTTGTAAGCCAATACTATATTGGTAAAAATTATAGTACAGTGGGTGATCGGTTAACGAACAAATCGGATAACGAACACTTCCGCGAAAGATTTTTATGATCGGACAACGAACATATGTTCGAATAACGAACACTTCACTGAACAAACACAAGAAGCGACGTAAAATAACGAATACCGATTGGTCTTCCTTTGTCTTCAGGCAACAATTCGAAACTTTTCGGAGCGCGGGACACGTCGACATCGACGTTCTACCCAGTATATACCGATCGGATAGTATTCCCCTGAACTTTGAAACTCTCCCTTGTAATTCCAGCCTTTTGTATTTCTGACAGAAACAATTCTTTTACGTTTTCTTCTGAAAATGCGGATTTATGTCGATATCTGCTATTAAAGATCTTTTGAAGAAGTAGGAAGATGTCATAACAACGGTCTTAAAATGGCATCCAAACCAAATTGAGGTTAATAGGCCTAGGGATCTCTACAATTACAATGCTATTAATTACTTCTGAAAAATCACGAATAAGACAGAAAAGCAATCGACATTGGATAGATTCTTTAACCCCCACAAACATAAAAAACATGACTAATAAAAATGCAAGACTGTGTATATATGTATTTTTATTATTACATATGAATAAACGTAGTAAAAAAGTATATACTTTTTTTATTTTGGGGGATCTCCAGAACGAATTAATCAAATTCCCATAGAAACCTATGGTAAATCGATAATCGGTTAACGAACAATTCGGATAGCGAACAAAGTCTTGGAACGGATTATGTTCGTTAACCGATCACCCACTGTATAACTATTATGTTTTCTTTGTTTATTATAACATATAAGTTCATTATTTTTATATAAGTTTTTTTACAGGTTATACAGTTTTCTAAATTTCCATAGTCATTTGAACTTACTTTCCAACTTCTGCATCACACTTAGGCATTCTTCCATATGATTTACATACAATTTAGCTAGTTGTACTGTACATAACAATTCAGACATTCAGAAAACCTTTAGGGGCAGCAAAAAAACAATTTAATTACGAATGTTTCGGTCATTTTTAAAGACCATCTTTGCACAATAAAAAATTAAACTCAGAGAAAAATAAAATATAATGAATAAACGTCAGAACATAAAATGACACTTGTATTCATTATTGTATTCTATGTGAGGATGATCTTTAAAAATGACCAAAAACATTTATAATTAAATTGTTTTTGCTGCTTTTAAAAGTTTCCCAAGTATCTGAATTTCAAATATTGCAATTTCTATTTTTGAACATAATGAATCACTGTCATAATAATAATAATGAAATAAGACAAAACTCAACTTTCATTATATTTGCAATTTCCATAGTTTGTATAGATATTATATGGATTCATTAAATTATTCAGTTACAAAGAATAACATCAAAGCTACACATTTGTTTTTCAGATAATGTTTAAATTAATTAACTCACCCTACACATACCACAATTTATGATGTTAAATACAATAATAGGAAATTCCCATTACTATATTTTACATGAACTGTGATAAATGAAGTACATTGACAAATATAAATACTTTTGTTTGTTTCCAGATTTTAAAATGTAAACACCCAGCAGGAGAATTATTAGTTGAGATATTGTGCATTGAACTAAATATATACCCTTGAAATCTGAAAATTTCAAATCATGAATGGATTTTTAATCCATATAGACAAAGAATCTAACAAGAAAGAACACACCATGGTCCTCACTGTTTCTATGATACTGTTTCTATGAATGAACCTTTGAATGAAGATTTATTGAGCAAAACGGGAAAAATGAGCTTCTCAAACCTTTTCAAGAAAATTGAAGTTAAAAACTCCTGAGTGACTTATTCATAAGTTTCAAAGAACTTTTTATCAAAGATCACACAGCTTAGTAGCAGCATGCCTTACTCATATTTGTGAGATTGCTGGTTCATGTATCAATGAGTGAACTTTTTCCCTTCCCATATCAATGCAATTGTTACATAAAATAATTGTAAAACATACAGGTTTACAGAATTTGTCTATTTTTTATTGAAAATGTGTATTTTCTCTTTCTTTAAAATTCATTTTCAGAACTGCTGTTAAAAATAAATTTAATTAAAGTTTATTATTATTTTTTTAAATTTGGCTACTTGATTGACAAAAAACACAAAAAAATAAAAAATATGCTTTAATTATTGAAAGCAAATGGACAAGTAAGAGACAGAATGACATTGCTTTCCTTAGTTATTAACAAGTCACATGACATCTTGCACATCATACAAAAGCTGCTTTTTTACATTCATAGGGTTATTGAAAGCAAAACATTCTTCATTAACATTCATAAAACTTTCCTTCTCATCCATAAGTTACAAAGCAAAGTTATATAAGTTACATGAATAACACAATATTTTTGCAAAAATTGGGGCTGATAGTTTGACAATGGATAATTAAAAGAATTTTAAGTAAACTTCTCAGGACAACATTTTACATTGTAGGTTAATTAAAAATGGACAATTTTGAATGTGCTCGATAAAGTTTATTACTTGTCTATAAAAATAGGCATTATAAGATTGGCATAAAGGTGTGCACTTGAAAAAAATGACCTTGATAGTACATGTTCCTAGACCATCATCATCCTAAAAGATCTTGTTGTACAAAAAGAAAAAACAACAACAACAACAAACAAAATATACAAATATATTGAAGAACACAACGTTCTTACAGAACAACAAAAAGGTTGCTGTAGAAATCACAGGGGATGCAAAGAACAGATACTCATAGAACAAATGACACATGCAGAAAATGTCACATTACGTCTGGGTGCAAGCTCTTGGCACAGACAGATTATTTACACAGACACAATCAAGTAGCAAATATAATACACCAAGAGCTTGCAAACAAACACAGATTATTAGACATCCACGAACCGTATTACAAATACATTCCACAGACAGTATTGGAAAACAACACACACAAAATGTATTACAACAGAGCTGTAATCACATATAAAACAATTTACCACAACAGACCAGACATCACACTCATTGACAAACACAATAAAATCACATACATTATAGACATAGCCATTCCAAACACAATGTACAAAACACATGCACTGAAAAAATTAGCAAGTACACAGAACTTGCCCAGGAAATAAGGCATCTGTGGAAGATGAATAGGGTGCTTATTGTACAGTACCTGTCATTCTCTCCCATACAGATGTGATACCACACACACTACACAAAAGTCTGGGAACATTACAATAGAATAGAAATACATACATCACACTACAGAAGGCCACTATATTGAATACATGCCACATTGTTAGGAAATTCCTGAATACAGACACTGACACACTTATTTAATTTTTGTTTTTGGTTGCTATGCCTTGACTCTGATCTGGCATAGTACACAGCCACCGGTGTGAACCGAGTATAACCCACTAAACCCAACATAATAATAATAGGACTAATTATTCACTGAGACTTGAATGAGTGATCTCACAAATATGAGTCAAGTATGCTAGAAAAAAGATAAAGGTATGCTATCATAAAGCCATGTGATCTTCAATGAGAAGTTTCTGCAAGTGTTCTATTATGTGAGTTATCCACACGTCATTAGGTTTTATATCAATTTGAACCACAGGGTTTTAGAAATGACTGTACAGGTTATGCGGAATACTCCCATTTAATTAAAGACACAGATGTTTTCTGTGAGAGGAATACACTCTAAGAAATTTACGATTACCAAAGTCAATCACTTCATGTATCCAATGTCATGTCATTTGGAGAACAGACAAATTTTACAATCGCCAATTAAATATAAGAATAAAAAATTATACATAATGTAGATAAGAATAAGAAAAAATATAACGAAAACAACACAGAATGCTTAAAAGGTTAAGCTTATCAAAAAAGAAAAAATACAAAACTACACAAACTATTTGGATATACAATATTAAATAAGAAAAAAAAAAGATTGAAACACTAAGTTAATTTTAAAAATAGCTAACATTATGATTCTGAATAATATACTGTATATGCTAAGTTTAGGAATATCTTTTAACACACCAATATATAAAAAAACTTCTTTAATAATACTGGAAATAGATAAAGCAATAAATTTACTTAATGTTAAAAAAGAAGAAAAAGTGATTTAAAAGGAAAAATTAAAAAAGATATCAGTAAAATAATAGATAGGAATAAGGAAGGTAAAATACTAATAACAGATAAAAAAGCAAACTATTATTTTAAAAAACATAATATAGTTAATAAATTTTTAAAGAAAAATGACATAACTATGATTACAGCAGATAAAGTGAACAACATATTCTAGTTGATAATAAATTGAAAAGAAACAAGTTGGAATTAGTCAAAAATGAAGCTTTTATAGAACTAAAAGAAGATCCCAAAATTGAAATTATAACTTAAATAGAGAAATTAAGAATATCTATAAAGAAAAATGGATAGATACCAAAGAAAAACATTATATATTGGATCCATCAAACAGCAGAATGTCTTCTTTAAAAATTATCATAGATTCAAAACCCATAAACCCAAGGAAAAATGCAGACTGCTAGTAATTTTCAAAATTCTACTTTGTAATTTAGAGCAATACCTAAGAAGAAACTAAATGATATACTGTATTCGAATTATAAAACATCTGCAGATAAGTTAATTAGCAGATTATTAAAAATAAAATTTGAACCTTCACAAATTGTTAAGTCTAGATTTAATTTCAATGTAGCTCAATATAAAATAGAAAATGATAGAAGAAAGCTTATAAGCATTGGCTATACAAGGATGGATCCAAAAACTAGTTAAATTGATGTATTTCAGTAATTATTTTAAAATAGATAAAAGTTATTTCT